ATGTTAATAACAATATGTTCTGTTGTGACACAGGCATCTGTTTATTTGTCGTTTAACACTTCCCTCAGAAATATTCCAGTTATTTCAACCTGTAAATACTCAAGACCAGACAAACCAGTGATTGATATCATGAACAGTATCCATGACGTAGGGGTTGGAAGACAAGCAATCACTGAATCTCGTCACCTGATCCACCAGTTGTCTCTTGTGAGGCCGTAAAAAAGGAATAAGTAGCTGAAGGCCAATTAAAACTAGGAATCCCTGTGGGGGGATAAACATTATATGTGTTTTCAGATCTAAATCTGAAAGGACAAGGTAGAATGAGGGCCCTTTTGGCCCCATAAAAAAAAGTCAAATCGTATACTTAAGGAATGTTCAAATGGCTGACAACTTTTGAAACACTGTCTTTCATACATTCATAGTGGTGAGGTGAGGTGGGGTGATGTGAAATGGGGTTTAACGTCGCGTCCAAGATTTCTGCACTTACGGAGCGATGTGTAGGCACATACGTGTGTGTGGCTGCTTGTACTCGTCCGGACTAATGCCAATTTATGTTGCTAGCCCACTAAGCATGCTAAGATACCATGCCGCAGTTTAACATGAATACCCAACTCAGACACAGTGTACTGACTCCAAGCCAACGAGTCCTTGTTTTACCCCCTTAATGCCGAGTGCCAGACAGGGTAACAACAAGTACCATCTTTTAACGTCTTTTGGTATGATGTGGCCAGGGATCGAACCCCGACGGAGGCGGTCCTTTCATAATGGAAGTGTTGCTAATTTTATAAATCATACAGAACCTCTGGGCCAAAACAGGCCCTTATCATGCCTTGCCTTTTGAGGACCAACCATTTTATATCCTGGGTGCAGTCCCTAATCTGGAGTTGAAGGATTCAAATATTGATAATGGGAAAGCCTGCATACTAGCCTGACTGACTTAAAACAGAAGCAGATCACTGTCTAATCTAGCACAATATATACTACTAAACAAATTAAGGACCACCCGATTCTTTCATATTACTATTGTTAATCTGTCATGGCATGACAGATCAAAGATAGTAATATGAAAGAAATCAGGAGTGAGTGAGTGAGCAGTTTAGCGCCGCTTTAATTAGGGCTGGTGATTTAGATCGATAATCGTAATTATCATCGATGGAAGAAGGTTGTGACGATTATCGATATGAATATAATGCTATCGATAATGACGACATGTATTTTTTCGACAAATAAAAGTTTTTACTGCAACACATTTGACTAAGGCTTATTTGTTTTGCTGTCCTTGTAATTATCGCTCGATATAAACAGATTCACCCTAACATACTGTTGGGGCCATACTGTTTTCTCACCTTCGCTTTATGTTTAGTCGCAAATAATAATCAAATGTTTCAAAAAGTAAAAAGTTCTGCTTTGAATCGAACGACGACGCCATTACGTGTTGATAGTGGGTAATTACAAATTTAGTCACTGGCATCTAAATGCGGAGTCAGGATTTTAGAAAATATGTATATTTTCGAAATAGTATGAAGTATCGTGATTAAAATAGGTTTCATAATATTTTATTTCTTAAAAAAGAATTTTTCCCATTCTATTTTATAAAATTTCAAATTTTATGTCTATTTGGTAACTACGTATTCCAGCCTGTTTCGGTTTTTTTCAATGATCATAGTTTTCGTTTATTCCCGGTGTTCTCAACTCACAGCCCACGTGAGGTCCATGTGGGGTTTGACATTTCTACGATATGGCAGCAAAAATTCATAATTTCCCCGGAAAGGCAAAAAGTGCTGTATGGAACATTTTTGGTTTCCATCGAAACGAAACTGATAAAGAACTTGATAAATCACATACTGTGTGCAGGCAGTGCTTTACTAAAGTAAAGTATACCGGCAATACTACTAATTTGCAAGTCCATATCGACAAGTATCATGGTTCAAAAACAGGTCAAAAATGGCAACCAACTATACAACAGTGTATTTCCCCAAATGCTAGTGCAGTAAAATTGCCTATGCACAGCCCCAAAGCTGAATCCATTACAAATGCAATAGCTGAACATATCGTGCTCGACATGAGGCCGGTCTCCATTGTGGAGTCCCAGTCGTTCCGTAAGATTCTAAAGGTTTCAGAGCCGAGATATGAAATGCCTTCTCGTAGTTATTTCAAGGACAAGATTATACCCAAAATGTACCATGATACCAGAAAAATGGTTGAGATGCAGTTGAGGGTGGCGTTTGATGTGTCTACAACAACTGACTGCTGGACATCATCAGCGACGGAATCTTACATGACAATAACTGCACATTTCATACATGATTGGAAAATTGTCAACTACGTACTCCAGACACGCGAGTTACCCGGTAGTCACACAGCTGAACACTTGCATGAGGCTTTGAAAACATCCGTTGCAGATTGGGGATTCGATCCCTTCACTATTGTCTCAGACAATGCAGCAAACGTTGTTAAAGCCATTGGCATGTTTGAAAACACAATACACATTCCTTGCGTCGCCCATACTTTGAACTTAGCAGCAAAGGCGGGTCTGAACGCAAATGCTAGTCTCAGCAAACTGCAATCTCGCTGCAGACACCTTGTTGGTTATTTCAAAAGAAGTCCGCTGGCCACAAATGTCTTACATTCCAAACAGGAGTTATTGCAACTACCACTTCACAATCTTATATGCTAACGCGTTTGCTGGAGCAAACTGCAGCAATCCATGCTGCGTTCACTGATCAAAGTCTTAAGAAAGACGCACGTGGCCTGGTTTTAGATCCCTCCGAACAGGACCAAGCAGAAAATATTATCCGTGTCTTGCAGCCATTAAAGCAAGCTACAACCCTTCTGTGTGACGCTACTCTGCCGAGTGTTTCCATGGTTTTGCCAATGATGTACAAGCTTAGGGTTCATTTGACTGTCAAGGATGGGGACAGTAGGCTTGTTAAAGCTGTTAAATCGGCAATTTCAGCTAACTTGTCCAAACGTTACACCAAAGACAAACTCAGAAAAACACTCATAGCGTCAACGCTGCTGGATCCACGTTACAATGGGATACCTTGTATCACTGAGGATGAAAAATCTGCAGCAGAGGATCAGCTACAAAGAGAAGTGACAGAAGTACATCGCAAGTTGTCAGAAACACCAATGCGTTTGAGCATAAAGCAGGAGAAAGCTGACTTAGCTGAGAGCGAACCAGCCCTTCCCGACTTGCCCCGATTGCCAGATTTTCCCAACGTTCCAGATACTGCAGATAGTACAGATTCAAGCAAGTCTGGGGTGACAGTTGAGACTGAGCCACCCGTGAAAAGGATCAAGACTGAATCTGACAGCATAAAATCGAAGTCACTTGGAGTTGACGACTGGTTCTCAGATGTCATTGTCACAGGAGTGGAGAAAGTTGCTGTAGATCATAATCAACGGGCAAGAGAGGAGATATGTAGGTATCTGAAGGAATCCCGGCTATCCGGGGACATGTCTACCCTGGAATGGTGGAAGATGAAGGAAGTGGCATATCCAGCACTGTCAGTGCTAGCCAAGCGTTATCTCTCCATCCCTGCCACATCGGTCCCCAGTGAGCGGGTTTTCAGCGCCGCGGGACTTGTTGTCAATAAACAACGAAGCAGCTTGAAAACAGACAATGTCGATAAGCTGATATTCTTGAACAAAAACCTTAAAAAGGTCTTTGATCAGTGATGATTTTCATGTTCAATACCAAATGAACTCATTACTATTTGTCGTATTTGAGGCAAGTGACCTTGCCAGATACAAATAAGTTTTCAAGTGTTAGCGTTTTGATATTTAGCGGTACATTCACAAAAGTCAAAAACATGAAAAATGAATTGCTGTTAGGTATTTTATTTTTTTGCATTTACAAAATGAATTGATATTAAATTTAAAACTAGTTCTTTATACTTTATACAGTTACAAAATGAATTGATATTACGCATTTTAAAGTTCATAGTTTGATTGTTTCTCAAAGTTGGTGACTGACACCGATTGCCGATGTTCCAACTGAACGTTTATAAAGTTATTTTAAAAGTGCATTCTTCGTGTTTTTTTTATTTCATGACTTAAGACTATTAGACTAATCAATATATAGTAATCATGAGAAAGTTTCGTAAAACATTAGTGCTGAGACGATCATTACTACATTATTACAAGGGTATACAAACTTACATCGTTATAATCGCACAATGTTTGTTTAATATCAGTCTGTAACCCAATCTGTGCCCCACCACGAAAACGATGACGTAGCACTCACCTGACCTATTACGTATCACACCTGTGAACCTAGTACAACCTACTACGTAGCACACACCTGTACACACCTGACATTCACAATGGCGGAATATTTGATGATTTTTTATCTGAATAGTTTCGTGAATACTCTACATAAATGACAAACGACTATATCAGGTGAAATTACATTTAATTTCTCAATTATTCTCACTTTATACAAATAATAATTGTCTTTGACGACATGAATCTTAAACTCAGATTGTTCATCGCTAAAAATGCGATGTAACGTGCGTATTGTTGAAACACTGAGTCTCCGGAGAAGTGAATTGCCATTTTTCTGTAATGTCATTTTACCAAAATAGAATTCTTCGATATTTATCGATTATTGATTGATAAGTGACTACCGATAATCGATCTGAGTAATCCATATCGATAACCAGCCCTAGCTTTAACAGTACTCCAGTTATATCGCGGTCAGCTTAATGTGGGAGGGAAGCCCCAAGTGATACAGGTCTCAAATGTTTACCACTTCAGTGAAACCCACAAGCATGGGTATGGTGCTGACAAACCTAGAAACATAATCGGGGTGAACTGGGATTCGAACCCACAATCATAGGTTTCTGGTGTGCCCAAGGGATGCAACTCTGCACAGCCAATCGCGGCAGAAAGAAATCAGGTGGTCCCTACTTCTTTTGAGTAGTATAATACAGGTGCCTCCCTTGTCTCAGGTGAATATTTTCCACATTGACATACCATAACATGATCAAGGTTACCTTTTTTCTTCAAGTCTTGTTTTAGCCTGATCTTGTCCGTATACAAGGGGTAGGGGATGTCGTCATCGGAGTCGTCTGTATCGTCATCATCGTCATCTGATGTGTCATACCCAGACCCATTAAGAGTACCTAAAACAAGAAAGAATCAATAGAATTTAAGATAGGTCTAAAGACGGTTTGTTAGTATCACTTGATTTACTTCATGTGATTGCTTGATATTTTTCTGATGGCATTATTTCTAGAAAGCATTATCACTGATTATTTCATACAGAATTTAATTTTTTATGTAATTCACTATTGCATGTTTGATGTAATTGAAATGGTCAATCATTCAAAGCAGAAACTTTCAATCAAAGCATGATTTCAAACTGAAGATCCAAACTGTCTCTGCTTCAAGCATGGCATGGAGATCAGTATTAAAAGTTATAACATTGCCATATATTAATGTGATATAATTCAACTCACCCAAAGATTTAGAGAAAAATACTTCTTGAAACATCCGTAACATTTCATCCTGAAACAAGACAGAAAATAGGTTGGACATGTGGTCAGAAACATAATACTCCTAAACATGAAACAGCAGTTACCTCCCTTGTCAAATTTCAAATTTTCAAAAGAGTTAGTGAGTGATAAAATCAAGCTTTACACCGCAGTTTGTTGTGATAGTTATAACCACTACAGTCAAGGTGATGTGAAATGGGGTTCAACATCACTCAAGATTATTGCACTTAAACAGTGACGTGCAACGGTGCATGCACGTTTGCGTGTGTGTCGGCTTGTACTTGTCTAGATTATTGCTGGTTTTCCATCATACTGAGATACCATGCCTTAGTTTAACATGGATACGCCACTATATACGGACCAGACCTTGCTTTATCCCCTTATTGGAGAGCGCCAGGGTAACAACAAGTACCATATTTTAACATCTATTGGTACGACGCCGCCAAGAATTGGACCACCGACCTATCCACTAGACCACAGATGTGGTCCCACTACAGCAGAACCTCAAGTAGGGGTGGTTGGGTAGCCTAGTGGTTAAAGCATTTGCTTGCCGCGCCAAAGACCCAGGTTCGATTCCAGACATGGGCACAATGTGTGAAGCCCATTTCTGGTGTCCCCCGCTGTGATGTTGCTGGATTATTGCTAAAAGCTGTGTTAAACCATACTCATCCACTCTCTGAACCCCAAGTAGGGGTTTTATCTCTTTTGGAACTTTTCCAGTCAAATCACACCTGGGGCTGCTTCACAAACAGCCCCCAAGCAGAAATAAAAAAACAACTTTTTCACTTTATAAGCGAAATCTCAACCACTAGGCTGAACCACTGACCCCAGTGGCTTAAAGGTTTCATTCCATTCTGGATGTCCCCCATCATGATATTGCTAGCATCTTGCTGAAAGTGCCACACAACCATATCCACTCACGGACCATGGAGAACAGGTTAGAACTGATCCTCAGTAACCAGTGTTGGTCGTAAACGTTGATTAAAGGAATCCGATTGTCAGACTCAACAACTTGGTTGATAGTGTGTCATTGTACCCGAAGATGTGGTACATTCCTCTTTTCATCTATCCATCGTCTGAGCCAGACACACTTATTTACAGGACGTCATCACACAAAAATAGGAATATTGCTGAATACGGTGTTATAACACACACGCTCTCACAGTGAGCTACATTACAGTTGAATCCCAGCAGAGGCTGACACACTTAACAGTCATAAAATATGAAATGTGGACGTTAATCCCAATCAGTATAATCAGACCCAATTGTGACAGGAATAGTAATGCCATCACTGACACAAACAGCCTTGGGAATAAGACCTATAAATAGACCAATGACAGTGTGGCACTTACCAGCGTCATATCTGATTGGCTATCTGTCTGCAGTCTCTTATATGCATTGCTCACTTGTTTGAACTTCTGAAATGACAACAGTTGATATTATGTACAGATACATGCAATGTAAGAAACACGACAAAATAATGTGACAAATTTGCAGAACAGACTAGTTCTGTAGTATATACTACACAACATTTGCTAAGGACCAAAACCCCTGGTGGCCAAGATACAGTTGCAAGTTGTAGTGGTATCATCATCATGATCATGATAAGTTCTGAATGTCGTTACAAACTGTTTACCAATGAGACATTATGCCATTAAATGATTGACAACATTACTAATATCTTTGTTTTTCACTGACTGACAGCTGTCTGATCATGCTATGGTCATCCTTAATCAAAGGTGTGATCCTTTGCAAATATTGAGTAGTATATATTCAGGTGACAATATCTGTTCTGATGATGACCCAAGTAGTCAATATTTGAGATTCAGGATGACACTCAAGGATCCTCATAAGACTAATCGATGATGATTGTAAAGTTATAATGTCGGAAGTCCCTTAATTCAATTACTAGAATGACAAATCTGAAGGCCCCAAGACCCCCTCAAAGAGCAGAGGCAAACTGGTACTGCCAAATAGGAGAATAGAGATTGATTAATGCTAAAGAAATATTAATCAATTATCAATAAATATCGGAGAAGTAACTTTAAGCAAATATGCAAGAAAGTCTTGAAAGCAATCAACATATTTCACGCCACTGGTGAGCAGTGACACATTTATCATGGTAAAGCATAGATTTGGACATTTGAGATATAACAAAAACAGTTGCTTTCTGTCTTCCACAATTGACATCATTGACAATAACAAGACTGTTTCTGTAAATCTAAACATTATTTCATCACAATATTTTATGTAATTTATAATCATCTGATGACAACAATTTCATATCGATAATCGTTAATATTTCTTCCAATCGACGACAATTTCGATTGTCAATCTTTTTAGCCAGCCCTAAATGTTACAGATACAGATACGACAGGGCTATTAGTAGTATGTCAGGCTTTGGGGGATATGGCCTTATATGTTATCATGGTTATAGGTTCAGGGTTTCAGATCAGTTCATTTTCTGGGACATTATTATATTCCAAAATGTCCTTCAGAGTTTATTCCATTTCAGTAACTAGAAATGTGTTTGTCCCATCCCCGCTTTTTCCTGAATGCCCAAAACATTCCCATCTGAAATTGACCTTAAAAAAGACCTTGACATTTGACACAGCCATGACATATGACAGGTATTGAGTTAATTATTGAGAGTGAATCGTAAGTTATAGGAAAATGGTTTCTCATGAATTAATCCAAAATAATGAAATTTGAAAACCATATTTCATATCTTGACCTATGATATGATCGAGGGCCTGCCATTCATAAATACTCAAGTCACCTTGTACACAAGCTGTGACACTACTGAATACTGAGTATACTTGGACTTAAAGGTATTCCAGTCTCATGTGTGAAAAATTCCCATGGGGTATACACTGATATACTATATGAGAAATATCAAGTATGACACAATGTATGACATCCCTAAGATCTGTCCTTAGCATACTGTTGACAAAGTCCTACTGTGGCGCCAGAGCTCAAATTCAAACAATCACATTAAGCAGCCCCCAGGACATAATGGTACGGACAAATTTCCTATCAGGGTTGATAAAATCGTTTTAATATCCTAATGCCATTTGTCTCTCAGCAAAATCACTAATGTTTAGTCAGTAAAAGTTTCATGTTGAGTGGCATCACTGTACACTGTTCATACAGTCATCCCTTGCTGCAACGCCACCTATGGGGGGCCAAGTAACTGATGAGTGAGTGAGTGAGTTGGGTTTAACGCCGCTTTTAACATTATTCCAGTCATATGGCGGGGTGGCAGCTTAATGTGGGAGGAAAGCCCCAAGTGATGCATGTCTCAGACGTTTACCACTACGTTGAAACCAACGAGCACAGGTATGGTGCTGACAAACCTTGAAACATAATCGGGGCAAACTGGGATTCGAACCCACAATCATAGGTTTCTGGCGTGCCCAAGGGACGCAACTCCGCACAGCGAATCGCGGCGCCTTCAGACGACTGGGCCACCCGTGCCCCCAAAGTAACTGATGAGTCAGTTAGCCTGACCATCCGATCCCATCAGTCGCCTCTTACAACAAGCACAGTCTTTTTTTACGGCAAGAATGGGTTGCTGAAGACCTATTCTACCCCGGATCTTCACAGGTCAGCCAAAACAGGTACTTGATATAGTAATACACAAATATCACCTGACTGATAATAACATGTATAATGCATGACAGATCGGTTGAAAACCCCTCATTATAACAACTGATCAATGATTACAATCCTACTCAAAATCATTAACGACATGCTTAGTGTATTTAGGCCTTGTATCAATTTAGTTTAGGCACATCAAGTATGTCACATATTTAGCCCACTGGGAATACAACCAAGTTAAACCTATTAACACTAATTACAGTGATCAGTTCAGACACCAGCTGAAGACTGATGCTTAGTCTCTGAAAATATATATTTCTGATAGAAAAAAGAACTCTGGAATGTAAATTGAAAAGGAGCCCCAGTGAGATGGGAGATTCAGACCCTGAGGAAAATGAAGACTTGCTTCATTTAGGGCTTTTGCATTACAGAAAGGGCTGGATGAAATGGAAAATAATATGGTTCAGGGACTGTGAGACAGTCAAACACCAGCTGCTGCATTCCCACCATCAGGGGATAAAGGTGCAGTGAAATAAGGTTTAATGTCGCATCCAAGATTATTGCACTTATACAGCTGTGTATGTGTGTATTGCGGGTGAGGGGGCTGCTTGTAAAAGCCTGGGCTTATGCCAGTTTTATAGAGCAGGCCCACTGAGACACCATGCTGCAGTTTAACATGGATACCCCACTCAGACACAGAATACTGACTCTGAACCAACCAGTCCTTGATTTATCCTCTTGATGCCAAGTGCCACTCAGGGTAACAGCTAGTACCATCTTTTAACGTCTTTATGACATGGTCTTCGGGATCAAACCACAGACCTGGGCACAAGCTCTATCCAGTTTGAGAAACACACTACAGCAAAAGCCACATGTTCCAAAAGGACCCCTTATCCTCAAGATCATGGCATGATTTGTGATGACAAGCCTTTTTAATCAGCTAACTAAGGTTAATTTCATAATGACTTATCTTGACCTTCCATTTTCGTCAAGAAATGCCACAAAATTTCTGATAACCAAATTGCACATGGCTCTAAAAGTACAAGTTACAACATGCACAACTATGACTAGAAAACACCCTGATCAGTGTTGAAAAGTTGATGTATAACAAGGCTAAATTAAATAAAAATCTCAGATCTCTGATAACTGTGTCAAGGTTTTACAAATGAATTAATGATGTTAGAAAAATGTAACAGGAACAGGAGAACATTATCTTGAAGTACCCACAGTTTGAGGATGTCAAACCCAAGAAAGCATGACAAATTACACATAACACATTGATTAGTGGTGTAGTATGGTACATAAAGCTTTGAATTACTGAGTGTTCAAAGATCGCTGCTGTGTGCAAAAGTAACTGTTAGTCAGACACATATCTGAAAATGTTCTACATGCATTGGTCCATGACATAAATATTAGGTTGCATTTTTCAATAAAAGGTTGCACTGGTGCCTGTTTTATATAGCTAAATGCCTGGGGTCCCTCGCCAGAATATCACAAGCAGCCCATAAACTGCATGCACTCTTTAAACAGACATGTTTGAGCACAGCAATCTAATGTATCATTAATGAATAGCGTGTAAATGTGCATATGTAAATGAGATGTTATTTAGTATACTGCAATATGGAAGCATCTGAAGTGTTAACCGAACACATCGGAGTTGAGCGACTACCAACATAACTGACATCTGACACATGCGACATCTGTATTTTTTTGTAGAGACCAAATATGTTTTTCATCACTGCTTCAAGCATATACATTTTTCTTCTCTAAAAGGAGCCAATGATTTGGTTTGGACCCCGCACTTTTCAAGACTTCTGGTGGACAATAAGGATTTTGTGTAGATCCCACTGCATTTTTTCTGGGACAGACAATGTTTTACAAATTGTGACAAACACATCCACACTCTGCCACACTGAACATGCTGAATGGAGCACTTTTTATGATTGAGCAAGTGGATAGTGCAAGTGGATAGTGCATGTTTTATGCATGTCTATCATCATATCATGTGGCTGACACTATCATTTAATCAATGAGTTACAAATTGTATAACCTGTGTAGGTGTCACAGCTTCATTATACTAACAAACACACCAAGTCTCGGGGCTGCTGACAGAAATTACCAGCTGAGGTCACAATGACCTCATCCTATCTTGAACAAATAGTATTCTAGGGCAGGACTAGTTCCCTGTCATTTTCAGTTGCAAACATCACAATACTGCTTAGGAAATTCTAACACATTAAACAAAAAAGAAAGAAAGAAAAACAAATAATCACTTTTTCATAAAATCATTTTCAGTTGCAAACATTACAATACACCTTGTGAAAAAAAAAGAAGAAAAATCCCAGACTTATCATAGAATAATCCCTTTTTCACATTTGTCCAAACATGATAAAACTTGTGTTCCAGTTAACCATGATAATGCATTTGATTGGTAGGTAGATGAAAACCAGCGTTAGAAACTAACAGTTTTCATCCACTAGTCCTTATAATGATAACATATAGCAAAACCCTTAAAAATGGCAATTTTCTACTAGTCCTTATGATACCTTTACCATTGGGCAGTTTGGCAAGGACTATAGGACTAGTGCCAATTTCTAACCCTGTTAAAACTGAAAAATATATTTGGTCTTATCTCATTTTTATTACTGCTGAGCACATGTTGAGATTTCTTGACTATGCAATATCAGGGCTGTAAGTGAAATGGTTTGTCAGTTGGATTTTCCAGATATGTAAATATTCTATTGGGGCAGACTAAAGCATGTCCAGCATTGCCAATCATGCTCAGGAAATATTATTTTTCATAAAGAAATACAAACCCTGACTGCATCAGCTGAATTGCCATGTTTCTCGGGATGCCACTTAAGAGCTAGTCGCTTGTAGCTTGTCCTGATAGAATCCTGGTCAGCCACTGATAGACAAGTATATCAACATCATATTAAACACATCAACATCACAAACAAACATTTCAACAAGACCAACAATCAAATGTAAAATTTGAAGTGTTCAAATAAATTGTAATGTGCAGAGGTGAGTGTTTGTTTGTTGTTCAACACAGCACTCAGCAATATTCCAGCTATATGTTTGTAAATAATCGAGTCAGAACCAGACAATCCAGTGATTGATAGCATGATCATCGCTCTACGCAATTGGGATACGATGACATGCATCAACTAAGTCTAACTAAGCGAGCCTGACCACCCAATCCCGATAGTCGCTTCTTACAACAAGCATAGTTGCCTCTTACGGCAAGAATGGGTTGCTGAAGACCTATTCTAACCCGGATCTTCACGGGTCACAGAGGTGAGTGAGTATTGAATAGTTGAACACTCAACATAATGTTTGGGGAAATCCTAAAGTGGTGCAGATTTAGGATGTTTACGACTCTGATGAAACCCATGATGGAATGGTGCTGACCAACCAAGGATCATAATCATGATGATCTGATTGTCATGGTAAATTTGGGATTTGATGAGCAGATCCTACGTCATACTCATATATTACAGAACATTGCAACAATACATTCATTCCATGTATTGTCAAGCAATACTTAACCATAATAGTTTACATGGTTTACCGGATTTAAAATTGGTGAAGATCAACCTCTCCAGTAAATTACAGATTAATGTTTAAAATTGAGAATGAAAGTCAAGGGATCCTTGTCATATTCATTAGAACCCTGATATTAACAATGATTAAAGATGAAAATTTTGAATCTATCCAAAGAGATCAAATTTAACTGCTGGCCGGTTGGCCCGTGGCCAGTTAAAATTACAAATGCTTGCTCAAACGTAAAGTGGATGGCCTGTCTGGCAAGTCAAAATGTGCCCCCTTCTCCATGTTCTCTGTGTTTAATTTTTCAAATTAGACACTGCTCGGGAATCGTGTAATTTTGATGAGAAAATATTTAGTAGGGATGAGGTTGTGTGAATGGTTAACTCCATGATCACCTCTGTAGAACGACACAACAGACAGCCATTTTGTAATGTTCCATACAACATCATCATCTTTATTTGCTCGTCAAATAGCCACAAAATGAGGCAAATGGAAACCAACATTGGATAACTCAGTCATGGCATCCAACATTTAGTTTGGGGCCAGTTAGCTTGGAGAAGGGCCAGTAACTTTTGAAAGGACCAAGCCCTGCTGGGTACATATGAATTTATGTTAAAACTTATATCTACCCCTGTCCCCCTAGATTAAATAAAATTACAGAAAATGTCAAGGATTACCCAATATTTCTAACAGAGCAGATATTATACATCTTTCATCAATCAACAAATTGCTCTCCTTTGGTACAGACTGTTCACTGCTAAATTAGCTGGACATCTGTGAGATAATTGAATCCATATTTTCACCTTGGCTATTAATAAATATAGATCAGCCTTGAGCATATTTCCATAAACTTACAGATAAATCTGGTAAAAACTCCATAGTCACGAGCTCACTTATCCTGTTGAGGTCATGGTTGCCTCTTGTCATTTACATTTCATAGAAAATTCAAATGACTGGAAGTTTGAACTGCAGTCACAATGACCCGACTCCAGTGTTACTGCACTAGGTCACAATGACCTATTACTGTTCTTGTTTATATGTTACTTCACTGTGATTGTTGTTGTGAAGTCTAAGCCTTCATTAATATAAACTTGCTCTCATGTAGATAGTACTAATACCATCCATATACCCCACGGGGAAAAGATTAGGTACCAATCAACCTATGCTGGTCATAAAGTGACCAAATGGATCGAGTGGTCAGTCTTGGTAACTTGGTTTGTTGTGGGTCATCATAATCGGGATCACTGCTCACAATATCAATCACTGGATTGTCTGTTCCAGACTCGATTTTTTACAAGTCACCATCATATACTATATAGCTGGAATATTGCTGAGTGCTGCATCAAAAAACAAACACACACACACCCATCAATATCACCAAAAAGTACATGTATCAGATTCCACAATCAATTCCTTAGAGTAGAAACGAATCAATCATCATTAATTAATTTGTGCAGCAGTATTAACACTTTCTTAGGTTAAACAAAATTTGTCCTACATTGTCAACCAACATCATTACCAATGATTACTGGCCCAAAAGAATACTTTTTAAAAGTCATGTGCACAAAATATTCATGACTGCAAGTGATTGACATATTCAACAATGTTTGGCAACACAGAAACTGACCCCTTGTATATGTTCTATATCTTGTATGTGTCACAGGTTTCTTGATCAAAGATCAGTTGTGCCCCAAACACCTTCACAAACAAAGGACCCACATGTCTGATTCTCCGAAACAGAAAGTAAAAGTTGGCACATTTCTTGAAATAGACAAATGACTGCCTAATCCTGTTGAACCTTATTTGGAAGTTATGAAAGCATATTTATGACTGATAACCAGCAAGTCCCTTCTATATTTGGTGGGCAAGAAGAATGTGAAGCTTTAAAAGTTGCATTTCATTGTTACCAAACTTATATAAATATGTTATTTTGTTATCACACAGAAAGAATGGAAAAGGATATAATAGTAAACCCAAATGTTTCTGGTTAATTTATGCTTCTTATGACAACAGACATACTGATACTCTGAAAATCCGACAGAATTAATAAAAAGACATTGATAGAATACTTTGGATAGGCTTAAACTAGAGCTTAGTCGACTGTGAAATATTTCACAACACACTGAGCCGGATGTGCACTGACAGTACAGAGAAATAACAGAAATTACTTGATTAATCTCAAACACTCAGTTCTGAATTACACATTTGTCTGATAAAAGTGACCCTAACAAAGTTTGGTGTGAGAGTTTGTTAGTAAAAACCAGGAAAACCTGCTAACGTTATCTCCAGAGACGTGTGGTGCCATCATGAACAGAGAAAGAATTCACTGTTGTCCGTTTCTGAATACGGGAGGACAAACGTCACCTTTCTCATCACATCTTACAAGTATATTACATAATTTCATAGATTTTCTCACAATGTCGTTATTCTAACTAGTACTAAACTATTACATTACAATATTGGCGGGGATTCCCGTCATTTTGACAACGTTGACAGATTTCGCTTTAAACATATTGGTTTTGAAACAGCATATGTGCTTACCAACAGGTAATTCCAGTAGCTCAAATGCCTCGACTTTAGAAAGAACCATATTTCAAAAGCGTCCAAATTTCTTTTACTTTATAAACACATCAAGTAATATCCAATGTAACTGTCAACAATCACCAATTCCTTTGGCAGGTGGCCGCCATATTGGTTCATGGGCAATGGTCACGTGATATAAAAGGATTTTCTCGCGAGAACACATGGGATCAAAACATTAACACGTGCGTTTCCCAATGCGACGCGAAAGTGAGCGAACGAGCGAGAAAAGTCGAGAACCCCCGATTTCGTCATAGAATTTATTATTGTCTGACAACTAATATTTGCTTTCACCACGTCACATTAAACGTTATGACCTATGTTACAGATACTATCTTCATATCGATTTTAAATATGAAATTCAATATTTTATGAACAAAATACAAGATATCCCTTCACAGTTACATATTTTAACATATTTACATTAATCAGGGACAATAATCACCAGACAGGTACATCTAAAGTGATATACATTGGAAGCATATAAAAGATTTATTGAGAGGCCTGCGTTTCCAAGCATTATACATGCGGATATTAGTTTTAAGCTATTGTTTGTTATTGTGTTAATACACCCTTTACCTCAGCTCTGTAATTAACGCACCTGAGCATAGAATAAGAACATACTCACAAACGTTATCTGCCTCAATAGGAATATGGCATCCGCAAAACGTTGTTCTCAGTAAATGTTTCAGCTTCATCTATTCGTTATCGAAAGAAAATTTGCTCCATGATCCAGAACCTTTTTTCAGTCAAGATCTAGATGTAATTAGTCCCATTGATAAAAATGTGAAATTGGCGCAATTAGTAACTGCTAAATTGATATGCATACAACTTGAAATTGGAAAACGAAGAAAACTTGTTATAATCTGTGAGGGACTTACGTCAAAGTTGCCTGGACTGCCAGTTTTTCATCGCACTGTATATACACGGCGGGAACATGTGATATAGAGTGAAAAAATCACACATTGTACACGGTATTACTCGCACCTACCTCATGTCACTACCGAGATCAAATCAAGTTGAACATTCGACAAGCCAAACCCCCGAAAAGCTGCCGTGAGAAAGCATTTTATATAGCCCGTGTAGTTGTATAACAATGTCAAAACCATTCGTCAAAATTGCTTCCAGCAACACCTTTTACAGACACGTTCTATAAATAACATAAAATTAGGTTAGCAAAGAATAGCAATACTCGCATGTATAGTGTTTTTGTAAGATATACGATAGTATTCATTATTTCAATTGTATAGAAGGCCTCATTAACCCTTAATAATACCCATTCACCTATACACTATGCTGGCATGCTGGATCAAGGTAATGTGTAGGCATGCATAGGGTGAAGCTTTGGATATTCCCCCGGGCTCGTGTCGGCTATTGTAACCAGCAATTCTGCGACATTACACTTTGAAGTGTATTTAAGAATGTACATATACTTTCTTTTTGAAGGCATAATTTGTCTCAGTTTATGTACAGCGACTGAAAGCAAATCTAGGACTCGGAAATGTGATTGGAGACGGAAACGGGGGTGGGGACGGGTTGTAATTTCACGGTTTTCACGGAATACATAGAGGTTATCACGCTTGTGTGTTTGGGGATGGTAAATATCCTGCATTAGGAATAAACATTGTATTTAGCGAGCCTTGGCGAGCTAAATACATAGTGTTTATTCCTAATGCAGGATATTTACCATCCCCAAACACACAAGCGTGATAACCTCTTTATCATATAATGTCATTCTTTAATTCTGTGATTCAAAATCGCTTTCCCTCTGTCACAAACATTACCGAAACATTGCGAGTTTTCCTGGAATGGGCGCATTAATATTTATTACGTCACAGGGTAAGTGATGTGTCAGTCGGACAGTGACAGTAGCCAATATAGTTCGAACTGAAATCTGTTTCTTATACAGTGGCGAAGCAAAACAAAAAGTGTTTTTTAATTGCCTCTCGCGGCAATCCATCGGTCTGTCCGCTAGAGTAACTCCCCTTTGTCAAAGGGAAGCTACTCTAACCCTAGTCTATGATACGTCACGGCCACGATCAGACGTTGTTGACAGTCGGTCTGTCCTGTCATAACGTTAAGAAGTGTAGTCAGATGTACACACAGCGACAAAACGAAACAAGGTAACAATTCAAACATATTTCGGCCAAATCCAACTATTTTAATTTGCGGAAAAGGTTTTTTTTAAGCTGCAGAGGTCTACAAGCACAGATATGGCTACTGATCCCGCTAGGCTAGACCTCGTGCCCTCGCAAAATTGTTTCGAAATTTATATCTCCAAAGTTGCCAAAACTTATAAAATGCCTTAGCTACGTCACAGTTAGACACTGATTTTCAGTATATTAGACTGTTCTTGTGATAATTATAGCAATTATCCCTGTAGTTTATCTAGATTCCCGATGGTTAATTCTGACTTGATCGCCGAATGACGAGGGCGACGCCGTGTTTGTTTATAAACAGTGAAAGTAGTCCCTACTTGACCTTTGATATTTGCATCTCTATCCGCATATGACCCCAACGGATATCGTTTTTTATCCGTTGGCTTTATCCTGCCGAGAAACCTACCCAATATATGATAAAACGAAGTATTAAGTTAACAATAAGAATATAGATATCTTAATTACTTACAGAAAGCCTGCTGATCATGTAAGGGGGACCATCTCAATAAATCTTTTGCAATTTTTCTATCTTGGGTCATGTTTCATTGCACACACCTAGATAAGTAGTATAAATATATATATTTGAAGAATTATATAAACGAGCATGAGTTGGGTTAATCGCCGCTTTGGGCAGTATTTCAGTTATATCCCTACGTGTCGGCTTAATGTATAAAAGGAAGTAAATTGTAGAAACTGACCAAATTGTTATTGCCAGCAAACCGTCAGTCATAATCAGGCTAAACCCAGGATTCGAACACACAAACACTGGATCCTGGTCCGAATATAAGAGTGTTAGACGTGTCGATTAGCTGAAGTAAGAAAAGAAACGCCCACACCCACCACTCCCTCTCCCACTGTTAGGGGACCCGTGAAGAGCCGGGGTAGAATAGCTCTTTAGCAACCCATGCTTGCCGTAAAAGGCGACTATGCTTGTCGTAAGAGGCGACTAACGGGATCGGGTGGTCAGGCTCGCTGACTTGGTTGATGCATGTCATCGATCCCAATAACGTGCATCGATGCTTATGATGTCAATCACTGGATTGTCTGGTCCAGACTCGATTATTTATAGACCGCCGTCATATATGTATTGCTGAGTGCGTCGTTAAACAACAAACGAACAAACACTGTTAGGGTGGTGGGGTCGACAATTTAACTTCGCTCATCACGCCAAAAGCCGCGTTCGGTTCCCTACCAGGTTATAAAGTGTAAAGCTAAATCTTGGTGTCAGTTTAAACAGTATATCTGTTCTGTTTATGTATAAGTCGGCGTATCAGTTTCTATATAGTGTGAATAACGGTGTTATAGATCGCTACCATTTTGTAAAATGCACAAGCACTACTTTGATGCTGATATACTTAGAATCATGAAGTCGGGGCGATTCTGGGATTCAATGATTATGACATGCCCAGGGGAGGCAACTCTACAGAGCCCTCAGAGGACTGTGCCTTCAGTGTCCCCTTGAAGAGGATAAAAGGCTCGTTCAAAATGATAAAAAAAAACGTCCCCGCATGCGTTCAGCAGCACGGCTATCGGATGCCCCATCACAGACCAGGGGCACGTAGACAAACTGTAATTAAGTTGTGAATGAGACACGGCATATATTGTCGGCGGTCATATATTTCCAACCGGCGACAATAAATAATAGAATTATAATTGACCATTTCTGGGCGTTATCCATATTGCTGAAATATTGCTAAAAGCGGCGTAAAACCATACTCACTCACTCATAGATTATATGTCAGGTAGTGTGTACATGCAGGGCATGTATACAACATGCCTTTGGACTGAGAGGTGTAAATATTTATTGTTTATATTTGGAAACATAAGCAGAAATATTTTACAGTTTGTTGTAGAGGTAATGTATTTGTATGTAGAAATAATATAAGTTATACAGTGTATATTTCTACAATCATATGTATAGTGGATGGGGATTTATAAACAAGGTTTTCCCAATATAAATTACACCATGCATTGTACTGAATGGTTTAATAAACATACTTAGTAAAATAGAAGCGATATTCAAATAAATGTCATATGATAAATATATACATGTACACAGACATTCCAAAAGTTTTACAGATAAAAAATTATACAGCAATCTATAGATGTCTAGCTGGTGTATCACTTGTATATCACTACATGTAGTTAATAACTCTTGAATCAGAGGTATATTCCAACACCACCCATTTCATGAGATATAACATTTCTGGTCGTAGATAATATCTTCAGTTAGATTTGCATTTCCTTATAGAACAGTTTTAAGATCATATCCATTCTTATAGAAGTAACAATTACATCTAATAATCGGAAACTGAGGGTACGTTTTCATAAATGTGTCCGCATTAACGATATCCTGTGTCATCTAAAGATCTATCTTATCTAGGGCCTCTCAAATCACTGCACCCCAGGATAGTCGCCGGCGATAATATGTGACGATTGGCGACAATAAGTGCCGTGAACGTTGGCATATATATTGTCGACAGCGACAATATATGCCCGGCGACAATAGATGCCGTTACAACATATATGTCAGACAGATGTGACTAAGTTGGGACCATGGCAACTGTGTCTGTTTCGGAATCATTTGCGATCTTGATGATAGCTCAGTTATTCAAATAGTGGGAGTGTGTCGCCCCAAGACCGGATGTCACCCCTCGGAAATGACCTCTGACACGTATACGGATAATGCTAAAGAGTTACAACGTCCTAGTATAAGTATTAGCTCACCTTTCTTTATTATTGGGGTGTTGTGTATATGACCTTACATTGGTTCAAGATTGCTCAGTATTATTCGTTGTGCAGAGTTGCTTTAAATTCCCGTTGCGTACAGAATTAAACCTCTGTCTTGAACCCCGGTTCGCACTGATGTTTCTCGCTCTGTCAGAACCAATGATCGTGAGTTTTAATAGTAGCATAGTTACCACACACAAAAAACTTACACTTTGAAATCCTTTCAAAAAATTA